TGGATTTCGCACGTGCTTACAGAAATTAGGCATCGAAAAGATACGCACAACGTCCTATCACCCACAAACCAGCGGCGTTACCGAACGAAATAACAGAACAATCAAAGAATGGTTGGCAGCGAAAGGAGGAGGTTAGGAGTCGGCCCCACCTTCCCACGCAGGCCAGTACCAAACATACACCATTTCAACTGATGTATGGAAGAATTCCAAAGATGCCAGTGGGTCCCAACGTTGGCATTAGGCCGCGAAACGATTTATCTCAGCAACAACTTCAACAGACAACATTTGAAGCCCAGAATAACCTGGAGAAGGTGCAGGAGGACGGTGCGCAAGTCGAGGATACAAACTAGACGACCGGCCAGTGTGCTTCCGGTTGGATTTAAGTAAAATATGAGCAGCATGTTGGGGGATTCGCCAGTGGCCCTGGTTCGAGGAAGTTAATTACCAAGTGGAAAGGTCCATCCCGCATAGTTGAAGAACGCCATCCCGTGTACAAAATTCAACGGATGAACGAAGTCCGTCGTGTACATCGGAACGACCTCGCAACATGGCACGAGGAAATGTACAGAACACGACGTAAACGAGCAAAAGAAATTCCAGATTCCCAATACACAAGGTCAGGCATGACGACGTCCGACATCGAGACAAACGCGATCACAATCTAGGAAGCAGCCGTTCATTGGTCGAGGCATGCAGAGTTCCTTTTCGCCGGGGGGGAGAAGTGTTGTGGGATATTACTCACTTCTGATTATCAAGTAACATAGTTGGTGATTTCTTGCAACGATCAAAAATATAACAAGACCATCAAGGGCCAAGTGATGCTTGGAAGAATAACTACCGACTGCTCTATACATTACCCTGTGTGTCGGAAGGAATTGCGATGGCAAGTTTCTTATTAGGATTTTGTGTTATGAATGCTAAACTACTGACCTCCCACCTGTAATCCTCACTACAGTTATAGTTGGGGATAGAAATCCTTAGTCTTGAGATTACACAGTTGACTGCGTGGTCACTTTACTGAGGAACGTCCAGCCACCTATGCCGAATCACACACAGCGTGAATGGTGGTATTCTTTCTTACCATAAAAAGATCTGTTCGGTGCTGATTGTCGGGAATTTGCGAGTTTCACCTCAGCAGACCACCTCACTGCGGTTAGTACATGCAGGTACCGAGCTTGAAAAATCAAAGTCAATGCTCCAATGGTACGATTCTTTCTATTTTGTTTTCTACTAGGTGTCTGAAAATTTTATAGTTTTCCGAAAAATGGTATTTCGTTTCCCATAAAACTGCCCTTTTCAGTGTCCATTGACCAGTGCAAAAGTGAAGCAACAGTCATACGTAGTCAGTATCGCAACAGATTGAGTGAATTATTTATGAAGGCCACTTGTTTCAACCAAACTTTTGTTAACTGTAACCTAACAACTATTTCACATTGTCATTTTTAGTTATCAGTTTGAACTAAACCGATGAATAATTTCTCCCCACTCCATCCCCGGTATATAGATAACATTTATTTGCCGAAAAGCTTGTTAGAATTTGAGTCATGCTTCGTAAAATAGTCCGATACTTACTTGTTCAAGATAATGCAATGACAAATTGATATATTTGGCCTCAGTCAAAATGGATCCGTCAATCCCCGATTTGTAAACTCTCTCAGATCTGAAACAGATAAAGACGTGTTTTATTAACAAAGATGAACAAAAGAAATTCGAACATTTCCGCCTAAAACACAACTGTTGAGGGTTGAGACACTTCATCAGTCCAAAATTTGCTCAAACACTGGTAGTTGAAGTATTCTGAGTGACACCAACCAGTTGCACACCAGACAAAGTAAAATGCAAAAGACGCATGAGAGTCAGTCACGATATTCCTTTCCACTGAAATGAGTTCGATCTGAAATCCTAAAACACACTTGTTCTACAATAGATTGATATATTTATGTGCTACTGACGAATTTAGAAAGGTCTCTTTGACTTAGAAGCATGAAATGTGTCAGGATCATTAGATACTTGCACTGCGGGTTAAACCTCTGAATGCTGAATGTTTCACATTTAGTAAGATTTCAGAACTGAACAGGACTGAGCATCACCCAGTGGGCTTTCGGGTATCAGCTCAGGGGTTTTCATGTCTATCATCTGAAATTCAGTACCCCAATGATTGATGCTCTAATAATTAGATCAACAAAACTAGCTACTTTAGAAGTAGTTACAGTAATGTTAGTAGTAATTGTTGCTTTTGTTAGTGTTGCTTGCCTAATAACAATGAAATTTTGTTTTGATCAGATAATGTAGAATTGTGAGAAATGGTAATCTGGACAGGAAATCTTCGGAAATAACTCCCTCAAAAATAGCGTACATGAGTGCAAACGCCCTCGCCAGTGCATATTCTCATTTTCGTATAAAATTTCCAACATCAACATGTACTGATACTTACCCGGCCAAATCAACCAAATGTAACTTCGAACGTCGGACCTTTGATGAGTCATGTGGACGAGCCATAATATGAATAGTGAAGATACAATGAGACCGTGTTGACGCTTCATTCATCGGAGTCTGCAAATGTTCACATTGACTGGTGATTAGAATCGTATTGTTATTTGTACATTTACAAGCACAATTGTGTTTTTGCCTCGAACTAAATACCACCACAACAATTCTGGTATAATATCACTGATGATTATCACCAGAGGGTAATTAATTGGCGCCAATACTTTCGAAAATGAATAAATATTTTACGGATAGCATTTATTGTTCCAGTGACGCCAGACATTGCAATACAGTTGGTAAACAAACTCGTTTCCGGTGCTCCAATAATTCATCCGATATGGTGGAATTAATAAGCAGGAGAGAACATTTCAGTACTGCATTGGACACTTTAGGGGGCCTTCTATGTCTCCCACGCGTTTGGTTAACTTACCTCAGCGATCATGCGATTGGTATCACCCATGAACAGTAAGTTCAGCGCCTCATCCACACTGATTGCCGGGTGGATGGAAAGGTTTTTCAGATGCACAGTCCCAGCTTCAGTGTCCTCAAACAGGCTGACGCGACTTCAATGGGACAAATGAAACGTGGGTATATCAAATTACTGCAACTTAAAGCATTTATCTAGTTTGTAAATCTTGTGATTGTTTAGACGTAAATTAGCAAAATGCGGCAAGTCATGCAGGATTTTGAGGAGTTGCCGTTAGAAAACGTGAGTAAATTACTCAATTCACGGGTCTTAGCCGGTGTTCCTCGTTTCAGTTGTCCAGCAACAGTTGAATGATCATTTTTATTTGGTGTTTGGCGAAAAAGTAGGAAACTGGAGGCGTCTTCAGAGTAGGCTGCTGGTGTGGTTAAATATGGTTCTTTCAACCCGGCTAGCAGTTGACTGAGGGCTAGTTTGGGTTTCTGTACAGGTAATAACGATAACACAATTAAGACCGAAATTATTTATACTCATGATTATTCTGTAGTACACAGCATTCAGCTGATCATAGTTATTTAGTTTCATTGGTACTGTAGGCGAAATTTTGAAAGAAGCCGCAAATACAACCGCAGAAGTGGGGATTTATTTAGCTGTTGGAATAAACCTCGAAATGATAAGAAAAAAGTAAATTTTGGATGAAGTAATTTTTACCCTAAATAGACGTTTTGTCATGCAAAAATGGAGTAAAAACTGCACAGTTAGCAAGTCAATCTTGGACCAAATAATAGCACGATGAGACCCCTCATTTTACGTACAGGTTGTCATATTTAAACAGGAATTTTCAAAGTAATAGGGGGTCACTGCGCAACGAAATAACAACAGCTCCATTGTGTATCGTTGAGAAATGTTATTCACCATTACACTCTTCAATAAACGTAAGTGTAACAGTTCTTCGGGTATGGGGAATCCCAAAATAAAGAGTTTCACTTTGGCATGAGTCACCGGAAAACGTTCCGGAAATCAGTGGGACACGTGAACTCACGGCATTTCCTCCAGTTTCGTGGTTGATTCCTGACGAGCATCCAATAAATCGTATCCATACTCGTTGTATATTTCCAAATAGGATATTTTCATTGAATACTCCATATCCCGATGCTGCCATGTCACCGTATTCAATTAAACAGGGTAAGATGTGTATGAGTATAGTTTGTGAAATATTATCATTTCTATATTAGGACATAAGTAAAATACACAAAGTTGCATATTCTTTTTATATAATCAACCAAAAGTGAATAAAAAGCATCAGCTCCAATCTCTTTCGACAATGTATACTTCAGTTATGTTGAGAACTTGAACAATGGATAGAACGAATTCGTTCAAAGGGGAGAAAAATGACTGTAAAAGGAGGTTTTCTCGGATGCATACATGGCTTACGTGCACAAAATATAACCTATGGAGTTCCAATTGGCGCAAATCAAAACGATGTAGTACCCAATCAACCACTGTGTGATTCCTGAATGAAGCGCTGTTGTGAACCTTCCCGCCTTATGAAATTTCTTGTGACGACAACACTGTGATTTCGTTCCACCTGTAAATAAATGGCTCATGGCTTCCCAAATAGATACTGTTCAACTTTGTGCTTCTCTGTTTCATTGAAATGCCCCTAACCTTTATCATGCACTGAAAGGAACGGCAACATAAGAAATTTGCACATAGGTACGGGGAGGTAAAAACAGAAACGATGTAACCGGGTGATACATGCTATCTCATACTCAAGAACCACTGTGCAGGGACGAATCGCACGGAGTATCGGGAAACCTATTTTTGAATACCACGAGAAAGGTGGGTTCCCGATGATTGTTTATGCACGCGTTAATCTATTCGTAAAGCTCATGTATGAAGAAAACCTTGGAATGATCCTAAGTATGTTATCTAACGGGCAGTCACTTTGTTGCTAGCAACTCTGGGTAAAACGGCGTGTCAGATTTGTCTAACCTTTTCGAAATGATTAAAAATGTACGCAATAGCACGCGGTATGATTCCGCGATCGGAATACTTTTCTGCACCACCGGTTATCGTAAACGTTTTACCACTGCCTGTTTGTCCGTAAGCAAAAACCGTTCCATTGTATCCGTTTAATACCCTGGAAACAAAGGAATAGATGGGACACAATTTTATTCGGTTGAAATGCGACGTACAATTATATATATATATATATATATATATGTGAAAAAACAGGTGAATTTTGTTGGAAGATTCAACGCGTTTGCATATGCATGAATGGAAATGTGCTGAATTGGTGATGAGCATACCCCCTCGCGGCTAATCATTTTGGGATAAGCAAAACAAAAATTGACCTCCTTAGTGCGTAAATTTCCATGTACCTCATTGTTTATTTGGATTGAATACCTGGCTACCAGGATAGTAACAATGTTGATACCGAGTGTGGTCACTTGTATCAGTAAAAACGTTATAATTTCAGTGTTTGGGTGGACAACATTTACATCTGCAACTCGCAGACTTTCTTCTTCTATTTCTTTTGTTTTATACATCAGTGGTTCAAGTTGCAGAGCAGTCTTCAAATGTGTGGGTGAAAACATCTCTCCATAAATTGTTGACACTCACCTTGCAGATTGAGTCTGCCTGCAATGTCACGGTGCATCTTATTGTTACTCGATTTCGGATCCTAACCACCTATTGTCGTAAAGTTGCTGTTTTGTAACATCACTTGTGTCCCATAGGAACAATGTATACACAAAAGTCTAATGGGCCAGTAATTCCTGCGATCAGATAGTGTTCCTAAAGAGGTAACAACAACAACAGCGATCAACCGCTTCGGATGACTCAAGCAAAGCAAAAATGACTATTCAGTGACTCTAAATACGCGATTCATTTGAGCCGTTTTAGTAAGGACGTTTGAAGGTCAATGAAGGTAAAGACAGGTGTAGACAATCGTGGCTATGGTTGCTGATTGTTTTATCATCTCATGTGAGTAATGGAGGATTTGGTTAAATTTCAAATGGAAATTCGTCGTGTATGGGTTGTGCTATATCGTGTAAATGGAAAATGAAAAACGGCCTGTTCAGCTGTTCGGTGGTGTAGTGAGTAGCACGCTCGCGTTCTGCCCGTGAAGTCCCGGGTTCGATCCCCAGTCGGGTCGATGGAATCGCACTGTTGATGAGACCCAACCAGGTCGAGGCAGCTGTCCGGTGCTACTGGGCTTTTCGGTTCACGCTTCACGACGAATTCCCATTGGTTTTTTCATCGTTTGTAATCCTTCTCGGGTCAGTCAAATGTGAAAAAATAAACTTAATCTAGTCAAATAAACGGTTTTAAACACGTTGATGTCAAGATAGTATCAATTCACAACCTTCAGAGATTTTGCATTGCATTGTATTGTATTTTATTGATTTGTGATTATCAAAACTTCGATTTTTTTCCTTGGCCTTGTATTTGAAACATTCGATTTTGATCGCAGTGTGTTTGTGTGCTGAGGCCGACAAAGAGCCCCAGATAGCTCTCCAGTTCCCTTTGACAATCTCTGGTATTCTTGCCGGGACTTAAACTGTGTCCTTTGGAGTCAAGAGCTGAAATCCTTAGTCCTGAGTTAAGCGACTGGGGTCTAAAATGCGAAACGCATAATCACAACAATTAGGCAATTTATTGTTTGTTCTTGGCACGAACGCACTTGTCCGTCTCAGGTCCTGTGCGGTAACTGTCTTTTTATCACACTTTCATCACTTGGCTCCAACCGAAATAGGGCTCATATTAGAGTTTGCTCTAGGCTAGGACAGATATAATTTTGCCATGTTTGAAATTCATTTTCTGAATCTAAAGTTTGAGTAAGAATAAGCAACACATGAATGAGGAAAGGAAACCCTCAGAATAAGTCAAGCTAAGTCATACTGGAGGATGGTCTTGTTATCAACCTATGGTATATAAGTGAAAACTCTGGAATCCGTATGAACACAAAACGTAAATAGTTGTTTATCTCGTCGGCGTTCAACCCTAGAAATAAACGATTGCCAACCCAAATGAGTGATTTGATCTTTGCGTCCACGACATTTTTTTCAGTGAAATTCACTCAGACTTTAATTTCATATACACTTCTCAATCGATGGGATCAACTGTACACTGGGAAAGCGTCTAAACTGAGCTTCGTGATTCGTAGAGTTCATCGTTATTGTGTATTCATGAGGCTCTCCAATTTACCTATTCTGAAGACTTGCTTAGAAGATTTGTACATCAGTAGAAGCTTTATAGATGGCAGATCAACCTTTTCAGAGGATTACTACTTAATAGATCAATATCGTTTCATATATTGATTGCATTTTAGTTCATCGGGGAAAAGCTGTTGTTCATAGAATTTTCTGCAGGATTATATTTTCAAATTTCATTTTTCTGGCAGTTCGAACAATATGTTACTGCAATGTTCCCTGCTGTCTTTACTGACAAATTGCTTAGAGTCTAACTCGTGAGTGTTTACAGTTTATTTCGAATTGATCTGATTTATATACAATTGAGTTTCAAACGGAGTTTTCGTGATCAATCGTGTCAATAGACTGATTAATAATAAGTGATTTTCGAGGCCTATAGCTCCAGAATTGAGCAACACTATGTGCTCCAATCGTCGCTTAATTCATATTAAAGCTTGCTGAAGCATTGAAACACCTAACTGTTCAGCATCCATGAGCGAACGTAATAAATTGCTTTGCAATTTACCCATCATAAAAATTTGAATTTGCATACACGGCATAGGTACCAGTGCTACGTTCAGATGTATAAATTAAACAGCTATTCAGTTGTCTGTTTCAAACACAACAAGCACTATATTCAGAAAGGGGACTATAACCGAACAAAATCCATTCAATTAAAAGGAATAAATAGCAAAATGCAAGGGTGGTGGTAGAATGCAGATATCTGAATGACAAGCCGATGGACGGATAACTCAATTACAAACGGACTCTGTATTACTGCACTATCAGTTGAGGTAATTTTCCTTCCGTAATTACGGTTGACCGCACTGAGTACCAGTGGCATGATAAATCAACATTTGACTGTGTTTACTGTGGAACTGGTTTATTCTGTGCTGTGTCAGACAAAAGGGGACGATTATCGATCATTCAAAATTCAAATACATGTAAAAATATTGACTTACTGGTCGATAACAGGTTTCGAAACCGCATCGAAAACTTGGTCTTGACCATGCTCAATGTCAAAAATGGAATCAAATTGAAACCGATAAGCTTCTTTTTTGTTACAAACGGTTTGTTCATTTGTGGAACGATCTCCTTCAAGAGTGACTCGCGGTTTATCAAGACCAACATCTTCTATCTCATACTTCTTGAAAAGGAATTTAAAATTCACTTTTGTCCACAAGATGAATTACTCACTAAAGTTTTCTTTTTAGGAGGACGAAAACGTAGGTAAATTTGGATAGTCTGTTTCACCATTGCCTTAAAGAAAAAGGCTCTGAAATGGAAATTTATTGAGTTCAGCACTGGGAGAAACAAACGGCAGTGATTTCAAAACTGAAGATAAATGTACACATATCTAGAATCGTTTTGGATAACTTTACTTGAAAAATGCATAATTATGGAACTTTAATTTCATAGGAAATATTGTTAAACTAAATATGAGCATTTCTGTTAAGTACGTTAAAATCCAATGCGATTAACTGTTTAGTCTTTCGAACACGTCCACCAAAGAAACCAGGGGCACTTGGTTAATCTGGTCACANAGATACACATTCACATGAAATGGTTTATTTTTACTGCATGAAACAGACATAATGAACATTGACTACTAATCAAAGGTAACCGAGCCCAAATTATGTGATCAAACAGCGGGTTGAACTTCCATCATATTTACAACTAAGCATGTAAGCTTACATGCTAATTGGTGGATACCATATGCCTCTGTAAGTTGGGTGGGTAATTCGAAGGTGAAAAGATCAGTGGTTTAGGTGTGGCCTAGTAGCTCAGCTGGTGGAGCGTGCGCTCTACAAAAGCGTAGACTGCGTCCATGCGTGGGCTCGAGTCCCACCGAGGCTACTGGACTTTTCCCATGCTAACACCAAGTAGCAGAATTTCGCTACGAAATGATTACTGTGGTAGCGATTTGCTTTCTAAGCATTATTGTCCAGTAACTATCCA